CATGGCATGGCTTACATGGCATCATAGCTGCTGCAACCCGTGACTCAACTCAAGGCTGCTCACTGCTATCCGGCATACTTAAGTATATCTGTGCTCAGATTATGAGCCGTTTTGAGTCAGTGACAGGCTTTTACATGTAATAGACTGTCATTGACAGCCTGCGTATCCAGTGGATCACCGTGGATACAATCCACGGTGGAAGTTTCCCAATGGAGATTCCACCGAAAACTTTTGAGTACATACAATACACACAGTACATGAACATAATGTAATGTACCGGTACCGAAATTTGCTACACATTGCAAACTACAACCCAAATATTTTCATTAAACTTCAAATTCAAATTTAATTTCAGCCGTCGATGGCCGCACCTGTCCGACGAAGGCGCAACCGCTCTCTGGGCCAGATCCCGCTGAGCTCGGGTGAGATTGAGCTGTACTCACGTCAGGATGAGGCGGCACGTCGACGTCGCCGTCTTCTGGCTGTACGCGAGCAGGAACGGCGTCTTGCGCAGCAAGTGACGCAACGGTACCGGGACAATTTACAGAAAATGCAACGCGGCAAGAGCAAAAGGGCCCACAATCAATTGAACATGGAGCAGCAGAAGCTGCTAACGGAGCTTCATGTGCGGTATCAATACTCGCTGCAGAACATGGGTACAGCACAGCGGAACGCGCGCCTGAAGATGCTCGAGCTAATGGAACAGGCCCACGAAGAGAAAGACAAGTGGAAATACAACCGCCAGGTTACCGGTAAACAACGAACTATGGAGGCCGAAGATGCTCGTGAGCAGGAGGAACAAGTGCGGACGGCCAGACAAAGACAGGTGCAGCAAAATATGGAGAGATTGAGGCTCTTGAGTGGTCAACAGAGACAACAAGCCAGTGCTCGGGCCAGGCGGGAGCAGGAGGTGGCCATACAACGAGCGAAAGACAGAGAGGAAATAGAGCGGCTGCGAAGGGTGCAGAGTCCTGAAGAGGTGATTAAAACTCCAAGGCCACATGAGAAGGACATAATGTCGTACCAGCATACGAGGACACATTGCCACGCAACGACACCGACAAAGGAGCGGCCAGTGGTGACGGTGATTCGACATAATCGGAAACACCCAACGGCGATGAGAGGAGAGGAAGAGGCGAAGAAATACAGCGAGGAGCTGGATCTGAAGAGAGAACACGATAGATCAATTGCGGAGGGACAGAAGCAGACGGCAGTTGACAGAGGGAGAAATGCCCAAGAGAATGTCGCATCGAAGCAACAAGGGCGACAAGCGATGGAGTGGCTGGCGTTGGTGGATAAAATGGAGCGGCGTACACGTGGACAGGAACTAAGAGGAGGTCAGGACTATTCTTTGGATGCAGGAGAAGGGGATGCAGAAATGCACGACCCCGATCTAACGGCGGAGCGAGCGTTTGCGCAAATGCTTGAGCTTGACGAAAAGTCGGTCGAGCTGTCGGTCTTTTCTATCGAGACGGACGATGACTTGGCTGATACCAGTCAAGAGAAATCGGATGACGACGAGGTCACAGAGGCTGACGCGGACACTAAAGTGAAACTAAAGCCTGTTAAGCACAAGGGCTCGTTTGACTCTGTTGCTGTAATTAAGGCGGGAAGACCTGGTAAGAATGAACAAGGTGAAGATACCAAGGGAAAGAGCGATCCGCACAAACGCGTTGAGGTTGCAACGAAGTCAGGAGTTGGCAGACGCGTTGATAACGAAAAGTCAGAGGAGAGTTCTTTTGGTGGACAGCGTGGAAATATTGTGATAGATAGAGGGCATTTGCAATGGGACTCGCACGCTGTACGTGTTACAGGAGACGATGACGGGGGGCAGCACAGGTATGAGAGTGATGAACGTCCTGAAGGCACAGATAGTGAAGAAGAGGAATTCGACCACGACTCCGACAGGATGAGAGGAGATGGCAGCTCCATCCAGCGACTAGAGAGCCGACTCCAGGAAGTTCTGGATTATCGCTTGTCGAAGCCACGAGATGGGCCAGTTTCGGCACAATACGAACAATCTGATCCAAGTGATGGTCGTGCGGAAGCTAGTGACCGCTCTGTACTTGCTGCTTCCTGCGGCAGCCAAGCTTCTTTATCTCAATCGAGATCGTCTGCAATCGCAGCGTCGAGTGGGAGTCGTCCTTCGTCATCAGATCAAGCTGAAAGATCTGTGGCAGGTGACGATGAGCTTATTCGTACTGGACATCACCTTGATACCCGACGCGGCTCCGATGCGGCGTCGTCGATGGAACAGCGAGAGGTGAACGATGGTGGATCTATCTCCGATCATTATACCTCAGAGATTTATCCTGGACAGGAGCAAGCGACTCGCTTGCGCGACGACCGAGCTGACCCAGAGCAGTTTGCCCTGTCAGATATTGGTGGGGATCGTCATGTACGTGTAGACTCCTCGGCTGCATCTTCCAGAGCAGAGAACCTTTCAGGTTACTCTGAAGAGGAACGTGAGTATGATGAAGCTGAGCACGAAGAGCGTAATAGTCGTCTCAAGAGATCGGGAGATCATGATGTGGTAGCGCCGCTGAGCAACGAAGACTCGGCTATTCTAGATAGGAACCAAGGCGATAAGAAGGCCTCTTCTGGTATACGAGATCGTGGTGAGGAACGCTTACCAAGGCAGCTTGGTCAGCAGAGAGATCCAGATCACTTGGAGTCAAATAATTACCCTGGTACCAGAAATTTTCAAGCACTCGATGAACATCGTGGGCTTTTGTCATCGAGCTCTATAACTTCTGACCATGAAGAAATCCACGACAATACCAGCAGTTTTGAAGGCAATAGCTCTCGAGTGGTTCAAAACGATGAAGACGATCGCATGGCGTCCGAATCATCTTTCGCTCCGAGTCAGAAATCGCTTTCTCGTCTTGATGAAGTGGTCAATGCCAGAGCGAGATCGCTTGAACAGCGCTACATTGATCAACATATGATGTCGTTCTCCTCATCAGAAGAACATAACGAAGATGAAGACAAGGCCGCCACTATCGACAGCAACGATACACATCCTCACGTCAACGTCAGTCCTCATGACCCGTACCGACAGCAAATGGGTCATCAAGCGCGAAGACGCAGCGAGTCGGCTGTGTCTGTTGCTCAATACTCACTGCCTCCTTCAGATACTCACAGCTCATTTGACGACAGCTTTGACCAGCTGCGTCCTGGATACAGTGACGACAGCTTCGTCAATGAGCTAGTACCGATGTTTCCGAAACACGCACTGCCTCAGCAAGCTTTCGAAGATGAAAACCAAGTGGAAGAGGAGTACGATGTCCAGTTGGTGGCACCGAACATGAGCCGAATGTTGACAGCAGAACGACGAACTTCTTTGAATCAAAGCAGACAGTTCCCGAGTCAGCATCAACCCTCAACAGATCGCCCTGGTCGCATGTCTTCAGCAGCAACGTGTAGACGCTCTGAGAGAAGCGATGCACTAGCCAACAGACCGCTTTCCAGTTCCTCTGGATCGTCCTACTCAGACATGAACAGTGGTGATACCTCGGTGGAACGAACAGGAGCGCAACGAGCAGCAACTAGGCCGGCTCCAGCCATGGCCACGAGAGTTCATACCCACCTTCACACAGATAGTGATGATCTGTCCGACGTTTCCAGTGATTCCGGTGTCTCCAGTCTTGGTTTTGCTGTCCAGTTGAACCTCGTGGCTGGAGCTACTCGAAGGCGCAAGAATGGGGATGATCGACAAGAAAATCGTATGCGTGGAGACGATCAACAGGATGCAAATGCCCGAGATGAAGATCTAGACAACGAAAGTGTAGTTTCCGAACGAAGCTTTGCATCAAGCTCCAGCATGTCGATGGACGCTCACTTCAACTACCTCGCTAGCATGACGTCGGCGGTAGGGAAGTCGCTGCCTCTGCATCTGCGAATACCAGCTATGATTTACGGTAAGAAGGATATGACCACGCCGCCCACGCCAATGGATTGGTCTGAATCTTCGGTCTCTTCCATTGCAACTGCCCGTGAAGATCCCGACAAAACTTCAGCTCGTCCTGCGTCTAGAAGAAACACTCGCTCAAGCTCAAGTTCGAAGTCTAGTGAGTCTGTCCTAGAGGAACAACATACACAACCTCCTGTTCGTCAAGAGAAGGTTCGATCGGGCGAAAGCAGCGACAGTGGCAGCACCAGCGACGTGGAAGAGCGAAGAGCGACGCGCGTAACATTCGACACCATCAGGACGACAGCCTCACAGCTGCCACCGCCTCCGCTGGGCTCACTAAACATGAGTCGCCCACCTCGACCCATGCAGACCTCTGACCGCCCATTGGATGCGTCGCAATCATCTTCTTCGGAACAGCATTCCGACGAGGTGAAGTCGTTGCAAAGACGTCATTTACCGCCGCCTCCAGTCGGTTCTATCCAAATGAGTCAGCCGCCTCCCATGCAGAATTATCGCAGCAGCTCCGATGATGATGATGTTCTATCCTCATTAAGCTCTGAGGATCTTCACGAGCGGAGTGCTCATCTCCAGTCGAACCAGCACTTGTACGAGTTTGAAGAAGAGAGAAAACATGATGATTCAAGCAGCGATGCGTCATTTAGCAGTTCATTTGCAAGCTCTCGACGTCAAAGTGTCAAGAAAGCTGAGAGGATTCTGATCTCCGTAAATAAGTCGGAAGGTGAAAGTGTCGACAGCGATGGAGATCAAATGGGAAAGGAAGTGTCACTGGCTGACGCTTTCCAGAGACGCCATCCACGATTTGGTCAGCGAGTTGAGAGTCACCGGGACAAGCTGAAACGTCAGAGGGACAAGCAGCAAGAGCAGAAGACCGCTGCAAAGCGTGATACTGCTCCACCAGCGACAGACGATCTACCTCCTGAGAAGCAGCAGCTGCTCACCCGCTTGGCTAGCGGCAGTCGCACTAAGATTTCGAGCCGCGAGATGAAAGAACGCAGTCGTCGCCTGTACCATCAACTGCCTGAGGTCGTAGAGCGCAAGCGTCAGGAAGAAGTGATGCGCAGACGACGAGAGCGACTCAACGAGCTGCGCGAGCAGGAAAAGGTGCGTCGCCCTGTAAGATTTGTTTACGATGATGTCGTTGTGACCTAACCTTTTCTTGTGTCTTGGTTGTAACAGGAACGACGTCTGCAGCAGAAGCAGCGTCGACGATAAGGAGCGTAAAGCTGAGCTTTCTCTATTTGTATGGATGGTATTACTATTTAGAAGCTTGGTATTTACAAAGCTTCTTCGCAGTTGGTACTTAACCATTCTTCTTGGGAGGTTTGCTGGTGCTTTCGCTGAGGTCTGGGATGGTCTGCAAGTGTGCGACCCACGCAGTACATGTATCAAATGAGCACAATGAGCTAATTACAGTGGATAAAATTCATTGAGACGCACCAGATCGGGCTTGAGGACCGCGTGCATGGCGCTGGAACCCGCGAAAAGCGAGCCCAGCGTCGCGCTGAAGAGGAGGAAGTATTGCTTCGCCGTCACCCGCGCCATAATTCAAACTCTAGCAGTGCTCGATCACTCATTAACGTCCAATCAAAGCGTCGCAAAACCTGAGGCTCATCACGCACGCAGGAATAAGATACAAACTCTTCTGCTCCGTTGAAGTGGCGATGCTTCGTACCGCTGTCCGTCGATTCTCCGCTGAAGCGTCCAAGCAACGACCGAAGAGACACCACAAAAAGAAAAATCACTTCGCGACGGCTGGTCTTCCGCTTGTGCTCTTTATCGTGGGCGGATACGTGGCCTTGACGCAGGTTAGATAAATTACATTTGGGCTGTGAACTATCGTGCTGGTTATTAAAATGAGCTGTGGACTGTCGGTGCTGGTCGTGTCATAGTTTGTTGGCGGCAAGTACGAAGCGAGAGATCACATGGTGAAAAGTCAATCGGAGCACTTGTTCAACTTGGAGGAAGAGCACAAGGTGCGTTAACAATTACCACATTGGAAGTGGATATATATATACATTCCTGACATTCTGGTGCTGCTATTACGTGCAGAAAATGACTAAGAAGTTGACTCTGGACGACTTCGAGATCAAGCCTGTGCCCAAGCCCAAGGAGGACCCATAGATAGTTAGTGTCCACCTTACGTAATGTTCATGTAGACCATCCCTTCCCTTAATTCCGAATATCCGTCACCACATTATTGACAAAAGTTGGCCACGTAACAAATGTCGTCGCGTTCTCGGCGCGCATTGGCGCCCGATTCCGGCGCTTCTTCGTCCCGTTCCGGCTGCTTCCTGCCGTTTATCTTCTTCCTGGGTGTATTGATCACATGCTTCGGCTTCATATTGAACGAATGGGAGCCCGTGGACCGCAGTAACATCGGTAGTGTTAAGGCTGAAGACTTCCTCTCCTACGGACCCATCGACGTCGTGTATACGTGGGTGAATGGCACCGATCCGCGCTGGAAGCAGGAGAAGGAGTTCTGGCACAAACACTGGATCGCTTCATTGACCGGCCAGCCGCTGCCTGTGTGGGGCCAGGAGGCGGAAATTAAAGGCAAAGACGACTCGAACTCGGACAATCGCTTCCGAGACAACGAAGAGCTCCGCTATTCTCTCCGTTCATTGGAGAAATATGCACCTTGGGTCCGTCACATCTACGTGGTTACAGACGGCCAGATCCCTTCGTGGCTCGACATTGAGTCCCCCAAGATCAGCATCGTCAAACACCGCGACATCTTCGCCAATAAGAGCCACTTGCCGGTGTTTTCTTCGCCTGCTATTGAGTGGAATCTGGATAACATCCCTGGACTCAGTGACATGTTCCTATACTTTAACGACGATGTCTTCTTGGGCTCCCCAGTGCGACCCGAGGACTTTGTGAGTCAAGCTGGAGTCCAGAAGGCCTACTTTGCATGGGAAATCCCGCAATGCTCCAACAGATGCTGGGAGAGCAGCTTGGCCAATGGACGATGCGACAAAGAGTGCAATGTTACAGCCTGTGACTTTGATATGGGAGACTGTGGATGTGACGTGAACCCTCTGGATGGATCGGTAAATTGTGACGCAGAAAAGGTCGCGAGTATCTTAGAACAATCGCCCAAACCACCAAAGATCGGCAACTACATATGTCAAGGACTGTGTCATTACCAGTGGCTGGGCAATGGAATGTGCGATCGGACGTGTAACGTGAGCTCGTGTGCGTTTGATGGAGGAGACTGCAGAGTGGTGAAGCCTTATGACCGAAACCGACCTCATGTTGATGAGGAGGAAGCCGAGGGAATGTCCCCGTTGGTCAAGGACTTGTGGTCCGCTGATATCGAGATGAATCACACACTCGTGCAGGTGCCATTGGACGTGAACGCTACGTACTTGAATTTAACGGATGCGTTTGGCGTCAATGGGAGCATTATGAGTGCTGCACATGACAATGAAGAGCTTGTTCGCTTCGCCTCTGTATACGAGAAGGAAATGGTGCTGTTGCTAGTGTTTGGACGGGATTCGGACGCTCATGCGATGACGAGTAGTGTCCAGATCACAGTGGTTGGCGAGGATTCGGAGGGTTCTCCTATTCAATTGGACTTCTCCATGGTGCGAGGGAAGAACTCGATTGAAGAGGTTACGAGTTCTGCTCAAGTGGAAGACGTTGAAGAGATTTCCAGCGGCGTGTCCACGTTCCAGAACACCAGTATCCGGCCACAACTCATCCGCCTGCCGTTTGGGTTCCGACAAGCTACTTTCCGCAATGTTCTGCCGTCTAGTGACGACGAACCGGAGCTTAAACTTGCAACGAAGACAGAAGATGGCGAGGAGAAGCTGTCGGATGGACAGATCGCTGTTGTTGCGGACAAGTTGGCTAGCAAAGTGCCGCTTGTTGAAGTGTTCCTGCCGTTTAACGTGACGGGAAAGAAGCTGAATGACGGCGATACTCTAAACCTCGGATGGAACATGGACTTGCGGCTTCACAACGACGCGAAGGATATCGACTGGAGTGACCACGATGTTTGTCAATTGAAGGTTCCGAAGAAGAAGCCAAATACTGCGGTTGCAGCTGATACCGAAGCGAGTAAGGCCAAGGAGAATGTTGCAGTAGACGCCAGATCAGGTGCAAACCACGCTGAAGATAAAGTTATTCCTGTCGCAAACGATCCGCTTGAAGAGGAGAATGACAAGACGAAGGATATTACTGAAGATGAAGCTAAGAAGGACGACAGCACGGAGGCTGAAGTTACTGAATACGATGGCGGGATCACGAAATGCCGGCTTGCGGAAGACAACCGTGGTGTGATTGTTACCGTGCGAGTTTTGACGAACCACGCCCACGCTGTACTCTCTGCTGCTGGAGCGCTAGAAGACGATGAGAAGGAGAGTGAAACAAACACTCCTGATTCTCCTGAGGCAAGCGGCCCGGCCACTGGTATCCCCAATAGCGAAGTTGATTACGATGCAGTGGACAAACTGCTGGAGGAGTGGAAGACGAGTCCTCAGGTGGCTGACGGCCAAATCTGCTTTTTTGATGCGGACCGAGCTGATCCCTCGCGGTATCGCTACTGCTTCGCTCTAGCTTTGGGTCACTATCACTCTGAAGAAGTGGAGTTGATGCACAAACCAACACTGTGGGCTCAGCTGCATCCACCCAAGCCTAAGGTGGTCTACACGTCGTACACAGGAGACGACCCGGCGCTACTTGAGCTACTGGACCGTTGTATTGACACCACCCGACGTCTCATCGGCATTCGACCACGAATCTGCTACCCGCATGAAGTACCCGTCCCGCGCCCACCCATCAAGGATGAAGCCAAGGTGGATGTGCAGAAGGAGAAGGAAGAAGAAGGCCGTCGACTGGCTTGTGAAGCTCAGACGCGTCGACTGGCACAACGTGACGAGCGCGAGAAGGAAGAGCGTGAAGCTCAGGCCAGTGGACTCGTGGGTGGCTTAAGTCGCTTCTTTGGGAACATCAAGACGGCAGTCGGGCTTGGACACGTCGTGTCTACTAATGAAAGCTTGGATGACGTCGAATACGCAGACGTATGTGGTACAGCTGAACCGAAGGAAGAAAAGCCGCAGGTCACACTACGCGACGCACAAGCTCACCTGTCCAAGGACACGTTCGGAGACTCCCTGCGCTTTGTCAACAAGCTGTACAACCGCGCATTCGGCAAGCCAAAGACATCAGATCGACGTCGCGTGCCTTCGCACATGCCATTCCTGCTGCAAAAGTCGATCATTCGTGAGATTAAGGACCATTGGACACAGGAGATTCAAGACACAAGTGCACACCGCTTCCGTCATCCTCAAGACATGCAGTTCAGCTTCTCGTACTTCCATTATCTCATTAATCGCGTCAAGATCCACCCTCACACGTTGGAAGAGATCTGGAGTGAATACCTGGACGCCAATCGTAACGGGATCCTGGACGAGAACGAAGTGCTGACAGCTGCGAGTCTCGCACATGGTGACGCTCCGCCTGAGGATTTCGTGAGCGAAGTGCGTGAGTGCGTACAGCCTGAAAAACGCGAGAAGGTTCGTGAGATTCCGACGGCGGAGGGAACGCTGCGACTTAGCGAGACGTTAACGCCGTACATCACTCTGGAGAACCTCGAGCGATGTCCTTCGGTACGTGACGCGCTCGTTAAGAACGTTCGATACGAGACCAAGGTGGAATTAATGTCGGAGACTGAGGTGACGTTCCACATGCTGAGCGACAATTACAAGTTTGCGTGGAAGCAAATGATGGGCACGCGAGCGAGACGCACCAAGTTTGTGTGCATCAACGACGACATGAAGAACCCGTCGACTGCGGTGAGTCAGATCCTGCACGAACTCTTCCTGTCCATTTGGCCCAAACGCTCGCAGTTCGAACTGCCGTATCACCTCAAGAACCGCTACGCACACATCGACGAGTTCAACGCCGCACAGGAGCGTCGTCATGTTGCAGCAACCATTGCAGTCGTCATCTTGGTGTTGATCGCTTTCGTCTTCCGTGCTGAGCTGCGTGCAATGTTTGGCTTCCAAGACATTGCTCGGGCTCGTGCAGCTTCGGCGTCGCAACTTACTCAAGACTTCCAGCACACTCAGGAAGATAAAGAAGGCAAGGTAGACGAGTCAGCTTCACCAACGAGTAAGCGGCGTTCAAGGAAGGCGTCGGCCTAGAGAGAAAAAAAAAGTAATCGGATGCAACGTCGACACGTTGGGTTTGGCATTAGGCAATGTTTGTGGGGTTTAAATGCTTTTTGCGAAATAAAGTAAGTGCTTTACTCGCCCTGCGTCAGGTGGTAGCTCAGTCGATCGTCGAGAAGAAACTGGATTGTTGTTAATCGTGGAGGACGAAGTAGAAAGCTTCCCGACGGCTGACCACTTCCAACTGAGTGACGGAAGACACAGACGACGTGGACGGTGTCACGGGAGAGAGAGCCAAAGTATCGTGGCAGCTTTCTGCCTTTTGATACTCCAACATCGGCCCATAGAATAATGAATAGTAGTAGAACGGGACTGGGTCGTCTATAGAATGCCTTGGCCAGTGAAGGTCAAGACCTGGTCATGTGTGGCCATCGATGGCCTAGTACACATCAGGTGGCTGTTGCTGGTGGCCGAGACCGGCGTTGGTGCTGGTCTGCAGATGAACCCTCAGCGTGTAGTTGGCCTGCTCTAGACGCTTCATGTGCTCGGCGGCCTGCGTGGCCAGCTGTTTCAATGCGTTGTTCTCGTTCTGAACCTCCTCTTTCTGCTGATTCTGGATGGCCACGGCGCGCTTCAGCAGCTTGTTTTCACCCTGGAGTCGGGCCGCATCGTTGGCCTGAGCGGCCACGCGTTCCTGTGTATGCTGCAGCTCCTGGCCGAGCCGCTGGAATTCGGCCTCTTTCTTCATGATGAACTGCTCATACTCGGCCCTAATTCGGGCAATCTCGGCCTGCTTCATCTGCTCAAAGTACTCGACATGGCGCTGGCTGTACTTGGCCACATCAGCGGCGTCGGTGGCCTCATCCTGGACGTTGGTTTCGCCTACGCCGCGGCGCTGACGCTTCCTCGAGAGGTCGAATGAGTCAGCTAATCGCGAGCGCTTCTTAAGACCTTCTGGGTATACTACAGGTATGGACAGCGCCACAGGGAGGTAAGAAGACCGGGTCGCATACATAGAGTAAGAGATGGAGGGGGCAAGTACCTTGAGGGGCCGCGATAGAAGCCATGGCAAGAAAATTTAAAGGTGGGGAGTTTTACTGTGGTCGAGGGAGCTCTGGGGGTTTGTATGCGACAGAAGCCCAGGAGCCAGAGAAGAGATTGTACCGGATTTATGGTACATGGGCTGATTGCGTGATACTAACATACGAGAAGGTTTGTCCAGAAACGTTTTGCCAAGAAGAAGCAAAGTCGCAAAGCAGGACGATCATTGGAATCTGCGAGCTCCTTTGACACAGAGGCAGAGCAAGTATGTGCTGAAGCTTATTGCTAGATTCTATGAAAAGCAAAAACAAGATGATCAAGACGTACAGCATCACCAGGGAGGCTTCTCGAGCGAGTGTATGATCTCAATAGGTTATGTAAGCAACTGAGCTTCCGAAGACTGATGGCGTACGGTGAAGTGTCAGTTGAGTCCGTAACCCCCACGGTCCTGCAATTTTCACTTTGGATCGAACACTACGGACTTAACTAGGACGTGATTAATAAATCATAACTATCTGCTGAATAGAACAATACAAACAATACTGTTGTACTCTTCATAAGTCGTAACAGCAGAGTTTTTAACCACTCACATAAAATGGGCTTCCTGAAGCGGTATTAAGGCGAAAGAAACTGCTACAGTCGTGCACCTCCAATTCGGCACCGGTATCAGTCGATACCCTGCCAGATTTTATGATTACGCGAATCGGATGCGCAATTACCTTTGCCCATCACCACCCTTGCAATTAACCTCAACGGTTTTCCCCTCCTCGCCGAGGGATGACGATCTGATCTTAAATTTGGATCGGACGTCTTCATACAAACACATACTTTGATTTTTACCGCCAAAGACAATGGGACATCGCCCTTCCTCCTACATGTCCCTAACTCTAGCACAAGTCATGCATGCTGTCACTCCGAACTTGCTCGTTGGGCAACGGAGCGCTTTAAGACCCCCCAAGCTGTAAAGCGCACTACCGTCCAGAGCATTCTTAAGCGGTCGGCGGACGTTGCCGCCTTGCCGGATGCCTATCGCGACCGGAAGCGCTGTTGCGCGCCCGCGATTCGTAAACCGGACACACCGACTAAACGTAAACTTAGTACTGAATTAACAGAAACAATATCAGTGCACTGGATTTGCATTTATTTTTTGCTATACGTTGTACACTTATGCCCTGGCACTTTTGATATGGTCCGCCCTGCCGAATTGGAGGTGCACGACTGTATAATTAGCCAAGCGTACCCATAACCTGCAGCAGCTCAAGAAGCTATAATATAAGTCAGGGGATTTCATGTCAACTGGGGCAACTCTCTCAGCCAATCAGAATCGCTTATTTTTCTCCCCGGTGCCCGGAGCTCCAATCTCGGGGCAACTCCCCAACTGGGTTAAATTTATCCCTGTCAAATTCGATTAGAACTACTTTATCGATTTTGCAGAATTTTAGCGCCCAGCACTACAGTCGTGCACCTCCAATTCGGCACCGGTCTCAGTTGATACCCTGCCAGATTTTATGATTACGCGAATCGGATACGCAATTACCTTTGCCCATCACCACCCTAGCAATTAACCTCAGCGGTTTTCCCCTCCTCGCGGAGGGATGACACGCCGCATCGATCTGATTTTAAATTTTGGATCGGACGTCTTCATACAAACACACACTTTGATTTTTACCGCCAAAGACAATGGGACATCGCCCCTCCTCCTACATGTCCCTTACTCTAGCACAAAAGTAGTCTTTGGGCGAGAAGCACAAGTCAGATCCTGCATGCTGTCACTCCGAACTTGCTCGTTGGGCAACGGAGCGCTTTAAGACCCCCCAAGCAGTAAAGCGCACTACCGTCCAGAGTATTCTTAACCCTTCTAACCCGGTATTCTGTATCCTACAGAATAAGATGTTTAATAGGATTTAGTACCCAGCAAAGTTGACTGCTGCCCCCAAGTCCGCATATGAGAATTTGTATACGTGGTAATCAGCAGATCCTTCCCGTTGGATTGGTGAAGGGTAGATAGACGGGGATTCTTCATAGAAAGACCAATATAAAATCAGAACAGGTTTGAAAATTAGAGTGAAAGCCCAAAACTGCCGCGTGGCAATCAGTCCCTCCCATTCGAAAATCATCTCTGAACAATGAACGGCCCCGGAGAGAAGACATTCAAGCAGCTGTGGCGGGAGTTATGCAAGGACGGATGGAAGCCCCGCAAACCCACGCGCATGGCCAAGCATCACCGCTACGTGAAGCCAGGAATCAAGGGACGTCTTGATGAATCGAGACGCGGCATTGACTTTTTTTAGGGTACGTTGCAATGCTAGCTGACCTAATAATGCTCAATACTTACAATGGTGTGTTTATCAGGCGAAGCTGAACTCATGGCGTTTGGACATGCATCCGGTCGTCTCCAGCTTCCACTCCCAAGCGTGCGTGTTGGCCCTGCACATCGTCCGATTGGCAAGCAAGCATCGTACGAAGCTGTTGGGGAAGAACCTCCCCATGGCCATCCACCGCTCACCATTTCCGCGCCACCACCTTCCGTTACGGCGACTGAATCCGCCCAAACTCCAGAAGTAAGTGCTCCTCAAGTCAGTGCACGTGTTCAACCTCCAGCGACCGCTCCGTTGACGCCGGAGGTGAATCCGGCAGGACTACAGCCATCGACTGAAGTTTAAGCTCAACTGGCTATAACGGATGGTACAGAACAAGATGAAGCCTTGGAGGGCCACGATCTGGATAATACAGAACATGGGGATACGGAGTTTACAGTCCCGGAGGATACAGAACAAGAAAGGAGAAATGAAAGCTCTGATACAGAATGGAACCCGCGAGAGAAATCGACGGAAGCTGATGAAGCAAAGAGCGAGAGTGACGACCCTGCGGATTATCGTGTAGATTTTGATGTCTTTGATAGCGACAACTTCATGGAGGGTCTCCGAAAAGAGCGATTGTTCGGCCCGACAGATGGTGATGATGTGAACGTGGTGGCTGGTCAAGATGCCAGCGACTCCGATTCAGACGCGGATAACGAAGACGTGATGAACGACAACGAAGTGGTCCTTGAAGTAGAAGGTGTAGAAGATCTAGAAGACGTGTCTTTGAATGATGACATCCCCGAGGAGGGACGCTTTGACCTGACTAGTGGTGATTTGCGAGACATCGCGGAGAATGGATGGATTACTTATGCCGAAGCGGAAAGTGGTAAGCCGTATGATACAGATTAGTGTGTGGTGCAAATGTACTTATTTCGGATTGTGTGTTTACTACAGGGAATCTCCGGATGGACGCTGCAACGGAACGACGGACCGTGCGGACCCACACGGTCTGCGGTCGCATACGCAGACTCTCCATTGGCCATGTTCTTCTACTTTTTACCGAAGGAGCTATGGATTCGAATTGCTGATGAGACGAACCGCTACCGAGAGCAGAATATTGGTGCTGTGGCATTATCTCGTCGAGCAAAGATGCTTGCTCGCCAAGCAGAGGATCCTCGCGTGAGTGTGCTCAACTTAGAAGATATCGAAGCCAAGTTGAGGAAATTCAAGCGTATTCAAGCTCATGAGATTTTGCACGTCGTGGGATTGCTCTTTGCACGAGCTGTCGCTCCGATTCGAGACGGGCTCTCCAATCACTGGAGTACTGAAGAAGATGGAGCCATTCCACGCGGGATGTTCTCTCGCTTCATGAAGCGCGATCGCTTCGAGCCGATCATGAAATTTCTGCACTTCAACAACAATGATGACGGTGGAGCGCATGCTGACAGAGCTTGGGAAATCCGTCCTGTGTTGCAAGCTGTTGAGAAAACATTCCGCCGTGGTTATCGCTTGGGTAAGGTCATCTCGTTCGACGAAGGCATGATGCCGAACCGCAGCAAGTTCAATCCGATGCGAATCTTCATGCCCGACAAGCCCAGCAAGTACGGCACCAAGTTCTACATGACATGCTGCGCAGATACAGCATATTGTTCAAGGTGCTGCATATTATTCTGTACATCCTTGAATACGCAATTCCGGAGGCTAAAGAATACACTGACACTCTCTCATGATATGCTGTATCTATCCGACTTAGAGTGGAAATCTATTGTGGGGCAGACGGCAAAAAGAAGAAGACGCCAAGTGATCCGTTGGGGCATGGTCCAAAAGCTGTCGTTAGAAACATATCGAAAGCCTTGGTGGGTCAGCCGAGGAAGCGCCTGATCGTAACGGATAGCTTCTACTCAACGGTCTCACTGAGTCTGAAGCTGCTGGATATGGGTCTCTATCATGTTGGCACCACGAGAATTGATCGACTTGGCTGGTGTCCGATCCAGTTCACGCAGGCGAAACGACCGAAGCGAATGCCAAGAGGAACTTATCGTATCGCACAAGCACGTGATCACCCTCAGTTAGTTGAGGGTTAAGCGGTCGGTGACCGTTGCCGCCTTGCCGGATGCCTATCGCGACCGGAAGCGCTGTTGCGCGCCCGCGATTCGCGCGTCTGACGCCAAGATTATGCAGAAGATTGACGTAAATTTTGTACTGAATTAACAAAAAAAACAAATCAGTGCACTGGATTTGCGTTTGTTTTTTGCTTTACGTTATGCCCTGGCACTGTTGATATGGTCCGCCCTGCCGAATTGGAGGTGCACAACTGCACCAGTGATATATTCGAGGATTCTCATCGGGCATTCCCTCCATCATGGAGGGAACGCCCGATGAGCTACGAGCTCTCCTAGGAGATACAGTCTTACTTGCGAATACAGCAATCTCTACCAGGCAAGGGAAAAAATCAATTTGCATCGATTTTTTCGATAATCCTCCATTGCAGTATGCATTGCAGTTGGCTCTTCAGGTGCAGTTTGGTATTGCAATTTTGGGGAGGCATGCAATCGGGTATTTAAATTGCAATATTCAAATTACAATAATCTAGCGCTAAGTACGAAGTATCTTGAAGTCTACCTTGAAGTTAGATCTTCCTTCGAGGTCTTGTCCGTCCAAATTTTCAAGTTTAAGGTATAGCGTTTGCGGAAGAGATTACTAGTCTACCTGCGGAATAGGTTATTTCTCAAAAGTGCACCAAAA